GGGGGGGGGGGGGGGCTGAGTCCAGTCGCTCCCATACACCTGCAGCCTGGTCGGCTTCCGAAAGTGCCTCCCAGCCCCTCCCCGCTCACTTTTTTCTGAGCCAACTTTTCCGAACTTTCCCCTTCCAGAAGCTCCCAATTCTTCCTACTATGACATTACCCGTGAAGAGGGACAGCTAAGGGGAGGGAAGGGAATAGAAGGGGGCTGGAGGCAGGGAGGTTGGGGGAGAGGGAGTGAGGGGGTAGGAGAGAGGGAGGGAGGGCCTGAGCTACGCTGTAAAGTCTTCCCCAAGTCTCTCGATCTAATGGTTTGACCTAAAATGTAATATTTAAATAGATCTGAGACTTTGTGATTTGAATACTCCTGTCAATTACAAAACAAACAAACAAACAGACAAAAGACAAAAAAAACTGTGTAGTTCTTTCCATTTGCCTGACAGTGGAGGTTTCTATTTTGAGGCAGTATGGTCAAGGGGAATGAGTGCAGCAGACCTTGGAGCCAGGGAGAGCCGCTGTGACCCACTCCCTGGCCGTGTGACCTTGGGCAGTTCATGTGTTCTCCCTGAGCCTCAGTTTCTCCATTTTAAAAACGGGGATAAGGAGGCCTATGCCTTGCAGGATCTTGGCGTGATACACTCGGGTCTCCCGGGCACCAATAAAGGCGGCCATTATTGTCATTATCATCTGCAGCATCAGCATTATTACTCCTCCAAACTGGGGCGCATCAGAACAGACAATTATGGAATTTAGGGAGCTTTTTAACAAGGCTCAATTAGTGTGATTTTCATGCCAAACTGTACAGTCCTTAAAAAGCCACAGATATTTTTCCCTCCAAAAGTAACGCCTCCTCTATGTATTCCAAGTGAAAATTAACAACTGAGGTCGTTTTCTTAATTGCAAAAGCAAACACATCTTCAGCCAGGATGCAAAGGGGCTGGCACTCATGTCTTGGGGAGTTACCTCTTGGGGAAAGGTCCAGAGGAAAGAACATCTGGAGAGCTGTGCTCGCCCTGACCGATGGCAGGGCCGACAAGCCCAAGGGAACAGTCTTTTCTAGAAACGACACCAAAGGTCTCTGCTTGTATAAAGCTAAAGCCGGTCTCCTTTCTGACTTTTGCAGTTGGCACTAAGAAAACGAGAGCCCTGCCAGCTGTCTTTCGTCCACTGTCACCGGGAGAGAGTGAATTCCACACTGTGGAAGAATCCCCACCAGGATTTGAAGTCCCACACGCTAGAGCTGCAGATCAAATGAAGAAAAATGATCACAACCAAGTAGGAGAGAAACAAATGAGCCTGTCACTTCCTTGTCGAACAAGAATGTTTTTGAAGGAAATGTCTTCCAAAATCAGACGTTTTTTTCAAAACTGGTAAGAGCAGGGGCGTCTGGGTGGCTCAGTCGGTTAAGCGTCCCACTTCGGCTCAGGTCATGATCTCTCGGTTCGTGAGTTCGAGCCCCGCGTCGGGCTCTGTGCTGACAGCTCAGAGCCTGGAGCCTGTTTCAGATTCTGTGCCTCCCTCTCTCTCTCTGACCCTCCCCCACTCATGCTCTGTCTCTCTCTGTCTCAAAAATAAATAAACGTTAAAAAAAAAAAGCTGTAATAAAACAACAACAACAACAAAAAAGAAACTGGTAAGAGCAAATACTCATTGAACACCTGCTCTGATTTTAAATATGGTTCTAAACCATTTACAGCCATTATCGGATTTAATCCTCTCAAACTCCTGTAAGATGCCTACTTACTACTCACGTTTTTCAGATGGAGGAAACTGAGGCTCGGAGAGGCTAAGTAACTTGCCCTAAGACAGAGACAAGATTAGGTGAACAAAGATTTCTCTTATTCTCCCAAACTGGATCCAGGCAATGGTCCCAAACGTCTTTCCCGGTCCTCAAGATGGAAACCCAGTCTTTCCTACCCTTTATCTGAACACCGGTCTGTCCCCCAGCACAGCGATGGCTCCTCCTTTGCAATCACTCCTGCCTCAGTCTCAGAGCCTCCCACCCAAATTCCTGCAGCAGTCTCCTGCTGGTCTGTCAGCCTAAGGATCCTAGCCCCTCTGATCTTTTCTATCTCCAGAACCACCCAGACAAGATGCCCTTTTCCTTAGATCTTAGATCACGCTGCTGGAATGTTGTTCAAATGCAAATTCACGTTACAGTGCTCTCCCAGCAGTGTGACCAAGGCAAAGTACCCAACCTCTTACAGCTCGGTCTTCATTTACAACGTAAGGATAACAGTACCTACCTCTTCAGGTTGGGTGAGAATCAATTACATGTTACAGAGAACAATGCCTGACAAACGGAAACTTTCCATCATCTGTTGCCCCTTCCCTCCTTCCTTCTTTCTCCTCCTTTTGTGAACCTGAATAAAAGAAACCTTAAAGTTCTCATGCCAGGGAGCCTGGGTGGCTCAGTCCGGTCAGCATCAACTCTTGATTTAGGCTCAGGTCATGACCTCAAGGTTCATGAGTTCGAGCCCCACATCAGGCTCTGCACTGATCCTGTGGAGCCTGCTTGGGATTCTCTCTCTCCCTCTCTCTCTCTCTGTCCCTCTCAAAATAAACTTAAAAAAAAAGAAAAAAGTTCTCATGCCCAACCAATTCCATTGCAGACCCAACAGAAGAAGTATCCCCTGCACCTTCCCACAGGAAGAAGCCAGCTTTACTACCTCAGCAGGAGAAGATTTTCTCTTCACCCGGCAACAGCCCAGCCAATGAGAAACTGCCACAACTCAGCCAATGAGAAACCGTCACCACCCAGAACTCTCACTTTTCTCCAACAGAATTTCGCTCAAAGCAGTCCCTCGCAAGTCCCTCCTTTTTCTCTCTAACGTAGTGTTCCTTTCCTTTGTTCTCCAGACTCACCCGAGGTTTTGCCATAACTTGCATGTCCCAAATCGCAATCCCTCTGCCATTCCCGAATACACCCATTTTGCTGGTGAAATAACTGGCTGTTTTGTGTTCAAGGCTGGCACTTTCCACTGTCTAACATACCGGTCAAGCTAATCACTCTCCTCAAATGCTGTTCTCTCTCTGGCCAACTGCCGTGTTCTTAATTATCCCATGTCACCCTCCCACAATACCTTTGGTCCACCTGGCTACCATCCAACTCCTGCCTCCCCACAGGTAGGGACTCCCTTTCCCTGACTCTCTGCTGGGCATTTCTTTTGCCCTCTGCTGAATTCTGCTCCCAGGGGAGTCAGTGCTGCCCGGCTGAGCACCAGATTATTTACGGATTGTTTCCTGTGGGTTTGCATTCCTTCGGGCGGACCCTGTCCCCTCCTGAGCACAACAGGTGGTTGCCTGGCCCCTTGCAGTGTCTGTGACACTGTTCCTGTTCAGCCTACGCCCCCCCCAGCGTCCACAGCACAGAGCCAGGCCTGTGGAAGGCACTTCATAAAAACTCACCTCTGCTTCAGCACGGAGCCCACTTCGGATCCTCTGTCCCCCTCTCTCCTGTCCCTCCCCCGATCTCTCTCTCTCTCAAAAATAAACACTAAAAAAAAAAAAAACCCACAAAAATTCGCATGGTGGAGCAAACGGCCACTGTCCTCCGAAGTTCTAGCAAACTCCTCATCCCCTGCAGTTCCTTTAAAGACAGCGAAACCACTCCTTCTCCCCGAGAACACCCACCCATGGGGCCAGCAGCGTGGCCAGCCTCCTCTGTCCTCAAGCATCTCCCCCCAGACTGCCTGTCACGGGGCTCCCTTCCCCACCCACCCAAAATGACGATCTCTGGGTCACAAACTCCTCCTGGTGTTGCCAGGACTGCCCTGATTTCCAAACTGGAAATTCAGCACCATCACACCCTCCCCCACCCCCGCCTCCAAGCCCCAGGCGGGCTGGAATAGCTGGTCACCATACTCTGTGCCCAGATGAGAGCCTTTTTTTTTTTTTTAGGGGGAGGAACAACATTATAAATGTCCTCACAGATTGTCTAGAGGCAGGGCTTTGCTCCTCCTTAGGCAGAACATCAGCAGAGGCTGATGTAATCAACCGCTCAGATTAGGTAGCTGATACCTTGAAATCTTGCAACTATAAGGTCCTTGGAAGAGTGAACAGATAAACAGGGGCTGAGGCCTGCAGGGGTGGGGGGAGGAGGCGGGAACTACCACGAGCCTGGCCAACTCACCAAGTTCTGCAGAGCCCGCTACTCCAGGAGCAGGCTTTCCCCTCCCAGCTGTTAGGGCACCTTCGGGAAAGAGAAGCAGTTTAAAATCAGCGGTGGGGTTCGCGGGGCAAACCCACCCCCCGAACGGCCCACCTCTGGCCCAGAAACGGGCCAGAAACCAGGATCTCCTCGTCTGCAAATCCCTGTATCGCTCTCGACAAAGGCCACCATTTCTCTCTCATCCTCCATAGAACCCCTGGGATTAGAAGGAAAAGTAAGAACCTCCATCAAGCAGGGAAATCGCCCCAGTCTCCCCGAAGTCAGAAGCCGCTGGGGACAGAGTCCGGAGCGCTGGAGCGTCTGTCTCCTGGGATTTAGACTGGCCAGATCAGTACTGCCAGGAAGTGTTACCTGAGAATTTCTGTCCCACCTCTCCATCTCAAAAGAAGACACATAATTGAATGCATTTTCTCAAAACAACTCGCCTGAGTCCTGAAGACGATCACAGATTGCAAATCTTTTCCCAGTGGCATCACGAACAGAGTGGCTATGTTGCAAAACAAAGATGCTGTTGGTAACAACCAACATCACTGTTACACTCTACCAGTCACTGTTCGAAACACTTGACTCGGATTAACTCAGTGCAAGCCTATTAGATGTAGAGCCTGACTGCGAGCCTATTAGACGTAGGTCCTATTACTATCTCCATGGACAGGTGAGAAAACTAAGACTCAGAGAGGTAGAATAACTTGCCCAAGGCCACACAGCAGGATCTGAGCTCCCCACCCCACCCCCCCACCCCGCCTCCTCTCGAAGTTGGCCAGGTGCCAAGTCTACCCACCTGACACTGGCCTCTGTTTAAATGGAGCTCCAGCAAAGTCCTTCCTCAGAGTAAAGGTCTGTCTGTTAGTTTTACCCCATCTCCTTTCAGTAAGCATTGGGGATGGTTCAAGGGAATCCATAATCAGAAAATGCATAGTAGAAAATGCAAGGGACAAACTGTGGTCGGGACAGAAAATGGAGCTGGGTTAAGGCTATCAGAAATGCATGCCCTGGGAGCACCTGGGTGGCTCAGTCAGTTGAGCAGCTGACTTCAGCTCAGGTCATGAGTTTGAGCCCCGCCTCGGATTTTAGGACCTGCCTTTTCAAAAGCCCCCTGTAACAGCACGCTGTGGAACAACTTTCGGAGGCTGATGGCGCCCCCTCGTGGTCTTAAGAGGAACATTCGGACTGTCCACCTTCACATTCAGACGTGCCCACCATCCATCCCTAACTAGGTGCTGATGGAAAATGTCACAGGTTAGTTTTTAGCTCCTGTAGGGGACTTAACCTTCCCGATCTGCCAGATGCTCAAGGGTTTTCCGGCTACTTGGATTTTTTTATTTTAAAACCGGTAAAGTCCTGGGGCATCTGGCTGGCTCAGTCGATTTTGTATCCAACTTCAGCTCAGGTTGTGATCTCGTGGTTCGTGAGTTCAAGTCCCACATCGGGCTCACCGCTGTCAGCCTGTCAGTGCAGAGCTTGGAACCCACTTCAGGTCCTCTGTTCCCCCTCTCCCTCTCTGCCCTTCCCCTGCTTATGCTCTCTCTCTCTCTCCCTCAAAAAAATAACAAATAAAACATTTTTAAAATTATTAGAAGAAAAAAACAGTAAAGTCCTGGATAAACTAGGATGCACTGGTCTCCCTACCCTTGAGTTCCCTCTTAGACCCCACATTAAAACCACCAAAGAGGGCACTGTCTTTCTGTCCTAGGCACTGCGACAGCCAGGTCCCAAACACAGTTGGGAGCTGAACGGTATGGCTTTTAAAAAGGCATCCAGACTTGAGATCAGCAGCAAAATTGTGTGTGCTTTGCTCATGTTAGGAAAACAACCATTTATGATTTGTAACGTATTTCTCGATTCTCACTGAAGAACAATGCAGAGAGGAGAGAGGAAGTACAGTGGGTAGGAGAGCAGAATGAAAAACAAAAAAAAATTCTAATTATCTCTAGCAGTCTCCTGATCCAGCTTTTCTCAACTTGCTCAGATTTCTGTAGCTCTTTTGCAAAAGCCTTTAGAAACAGCTAGCTTCCTGAAAAACAAAAAAGGTACTTGCTTTGTCTTTATTTTTCTTTGGAATGTCTATAAGTTTTAAGGAAGACAAAGGCCTAGAACTATTTACAGAGAAGAAAGTCTAGGGCCTCAGAGACACCAGTTGGTTTCAATGACCAACATATGAAAGCTCTATTGACCAGGACAGGGAAGGGGACTAGGCATTCTGTAGAATTTTCTGTTCAGGCTGAACTAGCCAATTAATCAGAAGTATCTTAAGGGTCATGGAGGGAATTCTTGTGAGACAGAGTTTAGGATGAATGAGGATTTTAGGATGCTTTCCTTTTAATATTTCAAAGATGCCTGGGTGGCTCTGTCTGTTAAGCATCCGACTCTTGGTTTTGTCTCCGGTCGTGACCTCACGGTTCGTGAGATCGAGCCCCGCGTCAGGCCCTGCGCTGACGGTGTGGAGCCTGCTTGGAATGCTTTCTCACCCTCTCTCTCTCTCTCTGCCCTTCCCCCACTCATTGTGCTCTCTCTCTGCCCCTCTCTCTCTCTCAAAATAAAATAAACATTAGAAAAAAAATTGCAAATTATGGCAGAAATCAGAAGCTTTGTGGTTACTCTTTCAGGCAGATGGCGAAGGTTCACCTGTGCAGCATGATTTGTGACATCCGGAAGAGTTCACCTGGCCCAAAATGCCCACACCAGCTTTCCACAAAAGCCTAAATCTCAGAGAATCATCTAGAAAAAAGCCACAGACTGTTAAGATAAGTGGTGGTGGTTACTTTTCTCTTCCCCAGGAGGGCACCAGCCCCAGCAACCACTAACCTTCCCACAAATTGATGCTATCCATTTCCTCATACACAACAGGAAAATGTCTACTTTGGTGACCCTTTCTGCACCTTCCTACAAGCGTTTGCTCAAGAGGCGAAACCAGATCAACACTCTTGTCTTATTAAATGTCACTTTATAAAGTTATGCTTCTTAGATCTCCTTCCAAAAGGTTCGAGGCACTTGTGAGAAGCCATATTAATTACTACAGCTATAGCTATACTACACAGCTAGAGTTATGAAGGATACTCACAATTTCAAATTAAGTCACTAGGGATACGATGATGGAATATTACTCAGCCATAAAAGAATGAGATCTTGCCATCTGCAACAACATGGACGGACCTAGAGGGTATCACGCTGAGTGAAATAAGTCAGACAGAGAAAGACGAACGCCACGTGATCTCACCGAGGTGCGGAATCTAAAAAACGAAACAAATGAACAAGCCAACAAGCAAAACCAGACTTTTAAATACAGAGAACTCGTGGGTGCAACAGGAGAAGGCGATTAAGAGATACGAACTTCCAGCTATAAAGTAAGTAAGTCACAGAGATGAAAAGTACAGTGTAGGGAATAAGGGACAGATGGTGACCACGCTTACCGTGGCGAGCACCGCATAACGTACAGACTTGTTGAATCACTATGTTGCACACCTGAAACTAACGTATATGTCAACTATATTTAAATAATTTTTTAAAAACATCTGGTATACTGAAAATGGCAACCGAGGGTACTACGTAGGAGCCATTTCTAGGCATTAGGTAGTTTCTCCTGCAGTTGTCCCTAATGGGATAACGGATTATCCCCGCATGGCTCTCGAACTTCAGCAAGAATCGGAAACGAAGGAACAGCTCCCAGCACAAAACACAACTTCTGGTAGAGGAGAGAGGTCATCGCCTAAGGCGCTATGGGACCCCAGGCCAGATCCAGGGTGTAATGGGATGGTATTTTTATTTCAGTGCAAATTTAGTAAACTTTGTCCTATATCTCTGTGGTTAATAAGAAACCCGAGCCACACCAACTTGCTCGTTTTTCCTGACCCACCCTGTTGGTCCACTGAGATCTGAAGGTAAGCCCACATGACTAAATAGAAAGAAATCAAAGGCTTCGCAAGCTTTGGGCTCAAACCAGACTATCATTTGGCATTGGTGAGAGGAGACAGAAGAATCAACAGGGGGACCCCAAATCCCATCAGGTATAAATTAGCAAAGGTTGGCTCTAAGCTTCAAAAGCAAGAAAACCAAAGGCAGAGTCCAAAATACACACATTTTATACACACACACACACACATATATAAATACACACACGCACACACACACACACACACACATATACATATACATACAGAGATACAGAGTTTATTAAAATGACGAAATGTTACCGGAACTATGCTCAGGAAGGTAACTACCCCAATTGTAACGATTAGATTTTATTTTGCATTTCCTTGTAGTCCCGGTGTGTTCCTTACAAGTTCCTAGGTCACGGAGAGCAAATGTGCCGAATTTTAAAGTTCTTTGTCAGTGAGCAGGGACACGCAGTACTGACTTGTAGATGTTCGCAATTTAAATGGGGAGATTTGGGGGCTTCAGACGTTACAGAATTATCTGGAAGCGTTGCCTTTCCCCACTTCCTCATCGCTAGTCCCTCAGACTTGTATTCCGTGCCCTGGCCTGACCCACACAACAGGGAAGGCCTGTGGCTTAAGGCCAAGGGCACGAGCTTCTCTCCAGACAAGGAGAAACAGCAAACAGGCTGGCCAAGGCTGAGACTAACGCCCTGGCTTTATTATAAGGAAGTCATTTCTGTGCCACATGCTTTTTTTGGCAAATATCCCCACCCTCACCACCCTCACCCCTGGGAAAAGAGAAGGAGGGGCATATACTATTTCAGGATTCCTTAACCCTGACCCTTTCGCTCAAAAAAGGACAGTGAGCCAGAGATCAGCTTCACAGAGTTGTCCACAAACCGGCCCAGGAACAAACCATTCCGAGGCTCCTGTTTTCAAAAGGGGCAGTTATGGTAAGCGGCCGGGAAACTGGTGTCCCTAATTTGTTGCAAATCATCCTGTGGCCGCAGCCATCCAATGTCAGGGTGATGAGTCACTTCATCTGCCCCGTGGAGACAGACATGCTGACACAAGAGGAGAGGCTGGGGTTTTCTAAAGATGGTCATTTATGACCCCAAATCCAATATAGAATTGCCGTATGTCAGGTTTACGTGGAGGGGCAAAGTAGGGCTTGGGAAACTGGAATTCAGAGAGGAGGCAACAAAATACGACTTTTGGGGGGCGCCTGGGTGGCGCAGTCGGTTAAGCGTCCGACTTCAGCCAGGTCACGATCTCGCGGTCCGGGAGTTCGAGCCCCGCGTCGGGCTCTGGGCTGATGGCTCAGAGCCTGGAGCCTGTTTCCGATTCTGTGTCTCCCTCTCTCTCTGCCCCTCCCCCGTTCATGCTCTGTCTCTCTCTGTCCCAAAAATAAATAAACGTTGAAAAAAAAATTTTTAAATAAAAAAAAAAAAATACGACTTTTGGTATAGAATAACTTGGAAAGAGTTCACACGAGGGTGCCCGTAGGTAAATAACGACACAGGAAAAGACCAGCACCTTCCATCTCAGGAAGACAAGGGAAGGCGAAGATAATCTGGCTGTGATTTGGGGGATGCCACCAATCACCAGCGGTTCATCCTGGGCACCTGGATATCCAGGCGTGTTCTGCCCTCACCCACCATGAGCTTGAGCAGCATCAGAGAGGCCTCTCTCTCTCTGCTCCAGCCCCCAGGTCTGTCCCTCGGGAGCCTACCACAGTCTGGATGCCCCTGCTGTTTATAGGGGCAGCTCCATGATCTGTTTATAGGAAACAGGAAACAAGGGAACGGTCGTCTGAAGGAAGAAGGAAGCAGAAACTTGTCTTGCCCCATGACTGCAGAGCCAGGAGCAGGATGGCTGGTCAAACGGGACGTGGGCATCTGTTCGGAGGGTTGAGGGAAAGCAAGGAGCATAATTTTATGCTCTGTCGAAGGTGAAGCAAAAAGCAAAAAGCACCAGGGAAATGTCAGAGTCGACAAATGGAACCGTCTGAAAGCTTTTACCAAACCTAGGGGAGGGAAGCCAAAAGAAAAATCTCCAGGAGCCACAGAGAAGGCCACGTAGCACGACAGTTGTGGACACATTCGTGCTCCAGTCTGTGCCGGGGGTCTCGCGGAGTGGTGCAGAGCAACTCTGAGGGACACCGACATCAATCCCCCTCGAGACAGTTGTCAAAAAAAAGGAAGAACCTCACACCCCTTAACGCACCAAATGAGAACCCTGCTCCATCCAGCACTTTCCGTAGAAGCATATGAACCAGAAACGAGAACCAGAAAAGGATCATACCATATAAGACTCAGAATGGACGGTGATGTGCAAGGCACGTGCTTTGAAGTATAAAGACCTTGGAAGCCCTCCCTGGTTTTCTTTGCACCCACCTCCCAATCCCCACAGGAAAAGCATCCCTCTTGAACAAAATCTCTGCTAACACCAGTTAACCTGGCCTTCTCTGAGGACAGCCCCCTTGCGACACACCTGTGTTGGGTTGAGTATTGACAACTTCTTCCCCAAAATCGGTCTGACCACGACCACTAGAGGGGTGAGAAACCAAAGTAGAGGTCTGGTTTTTGAAATTGAGACCCTTCTCCCTGCTCCCACTTGGAAGGGGCAAGGAGGACAGACAGGGCTTTAGAGATGGGAGTGTGGGAAAAATTCTCCCTCAGGCAAGGGAGGGACAGCAGAGTGAGCCCTTTGCTCTCCCTTTGAACCACCAGGCAGCTGTCCCACCCCACCCCACACTGAAGGCAATTTTATAAAAATGCCCCGAGTTATGGGAAAGAAAGGTCCTATGGGATTAAGAGCCGGTGCCCTACATTCAGGCCTCTGTGAGGGCTCTCACTTGTTGCTGAAATAAAGGCATCTACACAGACACAAAAAGAAGGGCATTCAGGGGAATAAGGGCAGGCGGGAGCGATGGGCACTGTCTATGTCTTAGGTACGGGACCCTAAGTGGGTTAGGTGCCTCAGCTCGTCCAGCCCACCCTTAGGCATCATCTAAACCAGCCCTGCTCTGGTTCCCTGGATTCCGTTTCCGTCCCAAACCACACTAACTGCCCAGAACCACGGTCATAGGGACGCTCCGACTAAAGCCAAGAGAAGAGGGAGCTGAAAAGGGTTTGGTCTAACACTGTCTTGTCCATGAATCTGTTCAATAAAGATCTACTCAACAAAATAAGACGCAAGGGTAGAAATGGCACAAAACACTGGGTGCCCTTAACCAGAAAACCCGAAGCCCCATTCCGAAAGATGAAATCGTAGAAGAAACAATAAAAGAAGATTTTCTTTTAGGACATTTGGGATGCTTGCTGAGCCAACGAATGAGCTCAGAAGTCAATCCACGGATCGGGGATCCCCAAAACACACTGTTAGTTAGCACACTACCACACTGTGAATAGAAGCATCCAGGCTTCCAGTGTTTTTGACTTGTCAACACATCCTCAAGCTCTAGGGGACAGTGCCATTGGGGCGAGAAGAGAGGCTCAACCAGAGTAGGGTCAGCTTCTGGAGTTTTGCTTGCTGTATTCTACTCCTGACCTAGTGTTGATACGCACTGTGCCGAGAACATTCTGAAATCCCGCCTACAGTGGACGGTGTTGGAGAAATACAGAGCCGTAAACCCACTTCGCACAGTATTCTCGGTGAATACGTTGAATAATTTCAGGGGACTTTTAACTCTTTCCATTTGGATTCAGATGCTGTCGGTGCAGGAAGTAAGAAAAAAATACTCTACAAACCTTGACTAGCTAATTCACCTAGGTCATCAGAATAAGGTGTGCCATAGGCTTGTGGTTCTGAAAATTTGGACTACCGGTTTAAAAAAAAATCCATTACTGAAATGTGACTCACTGATACCTTTTAGGGGAAGGACACGCTTAATAAGGAAACTTCATTCCTGGGAAAGATGATGTGAGTTGAATTGATATATTGACTGATTTTCCCACGGACACAATGATACAACAGAAGATTATTTTCTTGGCCCAGAACTAACGGAACAGCTTTTATAGAAATGCCCAAACAACCACAAAATTGGGGAAGGAGGAGCCTATGAAAGATAAAGTTTTCTAAAAGATATATAAACCCCCTAACCGGGTGACAGAGACAACATGAGAAAAACCAATAGAAATGGGACAGAGAGTGCCAGTCCCCAAGGTGCTAAATTCTTGGCTCATTTCCCAATTTCTGTATTCGGGGAGATTCTGCCAGGGCAGCCACAGCATCCGATATCCCCTGCTCTAACGGTGGAGTCCCTATTTTCCAGTCTCCCTTTCAACCGAGGGAAACCAGTCTTCTTGAAGCTCAGGTCCAAGGCAAGCCATTTGCTGACGTCTGGTCATTTTTCTGCCTGCAACCACTGCACAAGCTTTTCTCAGCTCAGCATCGCCCTCTCCCGTCTTCCTCTACAATGTGTGCCCGCGAAGTAGAGTCCTCACGGGTCCTACCCCCACCTCTTGGTTAGGTGCAGGACGGAGCCTGGCAGTGTGGGGCCCCGGAGCTGGCCACCTGCAGCTGGGAGGGAAGAGGGCCCGTGGGCAGCTGAGCAGAAAGCCGGACCGTGCCCTGCTGGGCTCCTGTTATCACCACCGATTACGGTGCCAAGGCAACTGCCAAGGTCAGTAGGAAGGGCTCTATCGGCTGCTTGCAGGCAAAAAGCCAGCGATTCCAATAATTCCAGCTGTATCGTCACCATGACTACTGTGAGGTACAGACCATCCGGAAGGCTTCTGGTTTTTACATTTTCTGCAAGGCAGAGAGGGAACGCTCCTTGGACGGGAAACCACCCCTTCGGCCCCACAGTCGTGTCTCTCGCCTTCCCTCTTCCGCCATCTAGTGGTGTGACAAGATATCCAGTGGGGACGGCAACAAACCAACTCTACGGCAGAAGGGTCCTCGCAGAATGGGAACCAAACGGATAGACCCTCTGTTTCACCACACTTAGGAGGAATGAAGAGAGAGGCCGTTAAGCCCCTCGCTTTCATCTTTGTCAGTAGAGTTTATCGTTATACTAGCATATCTTGTGACACAAATCGCACGCATCCCACTTCTTGTAAGCCTATAAAGGAAAAATGTATCATCAGAGCAGCAAAGCCTATTTTAGAAAAGGAAAATTGAGTATTTTGTTTTTCTTACATAAAGACAAGCCTAACCTCTTGGTAATGCTTCTCAAGACTGATTTTGTTGGCACATCCAGCCAATGATTTAGGCTGTCTGTCCCCAGTGGAGCGGAGAGATGGGCCCATCGGCCGCACCTTATTCATCTATTAGGTTTATTAAGTTTCTTACTCCGGTCCACACACAAAAAAGATATGCTCTATTTTGAAATGTGCTTCTCACTCTTCCTACCCTTAGAACGTAAGAACAATTTAATGCACCATTGATACCTGGGTCCTCAGAAATATGTTTTCGGTCTTAAAACTTTTTGAAACATAGATCTGAACCTTTCAAAAAGCCTATTAATCCTAACTACGCTCCCAGGTATGTATAGTATTTATTCTTTTCAACAGCCATAACAATCGATGTATTATTGCATGGATCAGGTGGCTGGCCACCCTTGACCCCCATAACTTAATCACTGAATCAAATTGCTCTTAGCTTTAAATTCTGGCCAGAGGCTTAGTCGTGTTCATATTCATTGTCACAGTAGGTGGAATCAAGTCATAAGAAGTACACGGACGAACAGAATGGAACTTACTATTTATCCTCGTGTACGAATTATGCTTTAAAAACTCCAGGGCTATTTTTAATCCTTATTTAATAATATGGCCGGATACCAACTGAAGCTTTTACACGGACATGAAAAGCTCATTTCCTTGTAAAATTCTCACAAGGAATTATTACAACAAAGGAACATCTTGTTCTGGAAAGCCTGCTTAATAATGCAAGCTGTTTTTATATACCCTGGTGGTTTGCGTTCTTGAATGGATGAGAATATTCCAATCCTTGCAGTGACTGCACAGGGAAAAAATGCACGAGGCAGACCGAAGATCTGGCCACACGGAACCTCCTGTGTCTCCTGGACCTGCCTTAAACCCCTCCATACCTCTCACCATGGTCCTATCTTTTGACCCAACCAGATTTCACCAGCTTAGAAGACACATAAGCCACACATCCCAGTTACTTATCGCCAATGACCAAATGACCCCAAACTTAACAGAGGGTGCTGCTTTTTTTTAATCTCTCGTGCTCTCATAAGTCAGGAATCTGGACAAGGCTCTGGATTAGGTGATCCTTCCTTTCCATGTGGCATTGACAAAGGTCACTCAGTGGTGTTGAGCTGGTGGAGGGGCCGATCTGAGGGGTCCAAGGCAGCTTCTCAAACGTGTCTACTGTCGGGGCAGCGTGGCCAGAAGGCTGGGCTCAGCCGGGATTGTCAAATGGAGCACCGGCAGGTGGTCCCTCCAGCTGGCGGCCTCAAGACAGACAGTGAACAAGGCAGAAGGTGCACAGCCTTTTATAGCGAAAGCCACACAGCATCACTCCCACCATATTCTAGTGGTGACCAGGCAGTCACCAGGGTCTGGCCAGCTTCAGAGGGAGGAGAGTCAGACCCCACTTCTCAGTGGAAGGAGGGTCAAAGAATTCACAGCCATCCTTAACCCACCACCTGAAGATGTGATTGCACGATGTGCGGATATGCTCAAATCATTTATTTATAGACCCAGTTCTTTACGCGCTTGAACTGGCTTAAGAAAATGTCGGCAGTGCCTAAAAGCAGGGGAGTTATTTTTTTTATGTTCAGTGATGGGCAGAGCAACATCTGTGCAGAATTTACGACAGCAAATGTCAATATCGGGAGAGTGACAATCTCACTTTATTGCCGCTGCTTACGACTCAGGGTCATAATATATTGGTTAAAGTGGCAATTAACAAAAAAATGTCCTTCTCATATCTGATGTGTTAATACCTCTGAGTTTTCTTAAGCATTAAATTCTCTGTAAAGTTAAATGACACAAAGAAACCATTGAGCTGCAACCCAAAACTTCATCCAGTCTGACCTTTTATGGGAATAGCGTCGAAGGCAGCCAGCCCGGGGCTCAAACAAAGGGAACAAAGTTGGGGGTAGGGATTAAGTCAGTCCAAGATTCTTCGAACTCACCGCCTCCCTGACACCAAAGGCACCAAAAAGGTATTAATTTCCCTCATTTAGGAAGAAAGCCCCATGTCCCTGTATCTCCAGACCAATAGCGCTTTTATTCTATGTGGGCTTCAAAGCATGTGATGTCTGTGATGTGCAGTGTCTTAGACATGCCTCTGGCTGTTGTCCTAAGGGCCTCATCAGTCCCCTCATGTGCCCCCACTCAGGGAAGAGAACAGCGACTTCCTGCCCCAATTCGTCTTTCCCTCCACCCACCATGGTTAGAGGTGGGCCTGGGGCACCCAAGGGGTGATGCTGGGGGTGCATAATGAGGCTCTTCCTCCCGGACCACAGCATCTTAAGGCCCCAGGAAGGTTAGAAAAACACAAAGATAAAGCCTTGGGGGCACTTGGGTGGCTCAGTCACTTGAGCACCAGACTTAGGCTCAGGCCATCATCCCATTGTTCATGAGTTCGAGCCCCACATCAGGCTGTCTGCTGTCAGTGCAGAGCCTGCTTGAGGTCCTCTGCTCCCCCCTCCCCTCCCTCACTAGCTCTCTCTCTCTCTCTCTCTTAAAAATAAAATA